TTTTTTCTTTTTCTTTTTTATTTTCTTGGATTTTTTTTAATGTTAAATAATTCGACGATGGAGCCTTTGTAAATGAAACAATAGCTTTCTTGCATACTCTTAAGGTGAGGAAATTTTTTTAATTTTCTACTAAAAGTATTAGAGTCAATTGAGAATAATTTCTAATAATTAATTACTTGGTAAATTTTTAAGGCTTATTGGATAGCACAAAATTAAGCTGGTACCATCTTTTGATGGGCGTTGTAAGGGTGCTATAACCTTCTTCATACGTAATCTAACTCTCGAACCCTATTCTAGTTAGTAGACCCGAACCTATTCTTTTAGGGACCCTTAAACTTAGGTGTTCCCTGAAAGGATAGATTCCTTAGGTGGCCAATCACACTTAGATAAAAAAAATTGGTGGCGACTCTTTAAGTCAATGTTTAGTGATAGATCCTTAGATCTAGATGTTATGACAATCTCTATCCATCTCTACTAAGATTATAGTTTTACCTGAAAAATCCATTTTCACAACATATGGCCTTTCTCATTTTGAAGTTCGTTTTCCTCTGCTATCATTTTGATTCGAGAAATTCTTTTCAACACCAAATCTTCTTCTAAAAAATGATGAGGTTAGACCTTTTTATCATAAGCTCTCATCATTATTCTCTAATATAGCTTACCATGGTTCAATACTGTCAATCTTTTCTCTTCAATGAAATTCAATTGCTCATAGTACTTTTAAATCCACTTGACTTCTTCTAATCCAATTTCTCTTATAGCCTTCAAAGATGGGATTTCCACTTTCACTAGCAATACGACTTTCATCCCATAAATCAAAGAAAATAAGATTGTCTTAATAAAGGTATGTACTGAGGTTTGATAAGCATACAGAGCAAATGGAAACTTCTTATGCTAATTTTTATAAGTTTTGATCATTTTCTCAAGAATCTTTTTTATATTCTTGTTTGTCACTTCAATTGTCCCATTCATCTTCAGGTAGTATGGTGTAAAGGTTATGGTACTTAATCTTGAAAACATATCTTCTTCATCATCTTACTATTCAAGTTCTTAGCATTATTTGTAATAATCCTATCTAAGAGTCTATATCTATAAATGATTTCTCCTTTTATGAACTTACAAACCACAAATCGTGTCACATTTTCAAATGAAACTGCTTTTACCCATTTTGTAAAGTAGTCTATCATCATAAAAATGAACTTATGCCTATTTGAGGCCTTTAGGATAAAGGAACTGATAACATCCATGCCTCACATAAAGAATGGCTAAGGGTGGTGCCAAAACATGTAAAACAGTAGGCAAAGTATGGATTTTATTAGCATAGATCTAGCACTCATGACATTTTCGAGCATAGTTAATGCGATTACTTTTTATTGTTAACTAGTAGTACCCAACTCTTATGATCTGCCTCACCATCATATGTCTATTTATATGTGCCTCATATACCCTATCATGTGCCTCTTTAAGAATATTTTTTTGCCTTGATTGTATTTACATATCTCAATAACACATGATCTTGACTCCTTTTATAGAGGATATCACCATCTAGAAAACATCCATGGCCAACATCCTTATAACTCTTTTATCATTTTTAGTTGTTTGGTCGGGTATTCTTAATCCTTAATGTACAATAGGATATTATGATACCATGACTTCCCATCATTTTTCTCTTTCATATTAGAATAATGAGCTGTAGCATCCTTAACATCTAATTTGATGGGCTGAATATTGGTTTTATCATCGATTCGAATCATTATAGCTAAAGTAGTCAAGGCATCGATGATCTAATTCTCTTCAATAGGTAAATGCTCAAACTAAATAGTTTTAAACTACTTAATTAGCTTTAAGATATATTTATGATATAGGATGAGTTTTGAATCCCTTGTTTCCCATTCTCTTTTCAACTGATATATGACTAGAGTTGAGTCCCCAAACATTTTTAATACTTTAATTTTTCTATCTATAGTAGCTTGTAAACCCATGACATAGGCTTCATATTTAACAATGTTATTGGTGCAATTGAAATTTAACCTTATCATTATAAGATAGTAACATTCTTCATGAGAGATCAAAATTGCCCTAATTTTATGCCTCAAGGCATTAGCAACTTCATCAAAGTAGATTCTCTAAGACTTTTCATCATGCCAATCATTCTCAAGTGGAGAAACAACCATTAAATATTCATTAGGGAAATCAAGCCTTATTGGTTTACAGTTTTTAACAACATGATCTATGAAAAACTCAGCTATAGCACTTCTTGTGATTACCTTTTAGCTTACATCTACAATGTCATACTCTGAGAGCATTACTTGTCATCTAGTAATTCTTTCAAACAATAAAGCTTTTTAAAGATATATTTTATTGGATCTAGTTTTGTTATAAGCCAAGTGGTATAGTAAAGCATATATGTCTGAATCTTTTGACTATCAAAGCTAATGCATAACACATCTTCTCTAGTGAAGAATATTTGGACTCATATTTGATGAATTTCTTACTTATAGTATACAATCTTTTTTTCTGGCAGATTCAATTTGCTACCCCAGTACACATACTATCAACTTCTCATATACCGTCAAATATAAAATTGTAACCTTCTTAGAACGGACGATACCAACACTATAAGATTTGACAAATACTATTTTACTTTACCAAAAGCCTCTTGGTATTCTTTATTCCATTCATCAGGGTTATTCTTGCAAAAAAGCTTAAAGATAGGATCACACTTATAGGTAAGCTGAGAAATAAATCGATAAATGTAGTTTAATCTAGCCAGAAAGCCTCGAACTTCTTTCGATGTGTTTGTAGGTGATAAATTTTGAATAGTTCATAGCTTATCTAGGTTAACTTCAATCCCTCTTTCACTGACCATGAAGCATAGCAACTTTCCTAACTTAGCCCTAATTTGGTTGGATTCAACTTGAGTTAGAATTTTCTCAACCTCTTAAACAACTTCTTAAGGTTTATGACATAGTCTTTTCCTTCATGATATTTTGCAATCATATCATTTACGTACACTTCAATCTTCGTGTGCATCATGGCATAAATGAGTGTCACCATGGCTATTTGATAAGTCACCCTAGTATTTTCCAAGCCAAAGTGCATAACTTTGTAGCAAAAAATACCCTACATAGCTATGAAACTAGTATTCTCCATGTCATCTTAGGCCATCTTTATCTTATTATACCCCGAGAACCCATCATAAAAGAAAACATAAAATGTCTAGCCGTATTATCCACAAGCATGTTGATATGAAACAAAGAAAAATTATCTTTAAGGCTAGCTCTATTCAAGTCATGATAATCAATACATATTTGTACCTTTTTATCTTTCTTAAAGACAAGTTCTATGTTGGCTATCCATTCCAGATGCTTGGCCACTTATAAGAAACCTACATCGAATTGCTTCTTTACCTCTTTCTTAATTTTTAACAACATCTCAAGCTTCATTCGTCTCAGCTTTTATTGGATTGATTTGTATTCTAGCTTTTAAGGTAACCTATGTTTCACTATTTCAGTACTAAGTCCAGGCATATCTTGATAAAACCAAGCAAATACATTTACAAATTCTCATAGCAGATCTTTTAACTTTTGCTTGTTTACCAATGAAAGTGATGTGCCAACCTTAGCCTTTTTTCTTATTCTCATTATCTCCTAAGTTCACCAATTCAATTATCTCCTGATGAGGCTTAATCATTTTATTTTTTTGTTTAATTAATCCTATCAAATCTAGAGGTAGAGCATATTCCTCAAAATTATTTTCATTATCAAGTCCATAAGCATTAATCAAATTTTTAAAATTAAACCATTGATCATTATCATGATTATCTTCATGTTCATTTATGAACCTAAAATTGAATGAAATAGGAAATATTAACAAGATGTCTTGGCTTGATGGAAATAGAAAATGAGTGCAATAGAAAAAATGAATGAAAATGCATCTTCTTATTTTTTATTGAAATAATAAAAAATAAATGGCTCATATATAAAAGATCATCCCAATGCCTTTGGACATAAGCAATTGGGAGTTAATTACATTAAATTTGTCTTAAGGATAGTAAGCTTTTCAATGACACTTAAATTATTTAGCTTATAGCCTAACGAGCAAAGGTAGACCCACACCTTATGCTCGTGTCCCTTTTTATTTTTATCACCAATTGCATAGATGGATAACTTAGCGAATGCCTTCTCTATGCTCAATTCTAGCTTCTATTCAAAGTCTTCATCTGAACCCAGATACATGAACCTTTTAGGTCTAAAGCTATCATAAAGGTGTGAGATGACCATCGATAAGGTTTTTGGTTCATAGCCTTTGAGCCTCACCATCATTCTTTTTTTTATATTTTTTTACCTTTTTCTCTTCTCCCAGCCTTCTACTTTATAACCCAAGCACTGCCTATCTTTCCCTATTGGGTTCACCACTTGCCTTAATGCTTTTGCCTTTTCAACCATTTCCTTTACTTTACATACCTCTTTGTAGATTTGTGTTGCCAAGTGCTAAATATACCTTTGTCTCCCTATATTTTTCTTTTACCCATTATAGGAAAGTGGAGATTTAGTAGCACTTTTTTAGCGACATTTTACCATAAATGCCGTTAGCTTCTGTTTGCTAGTTGTTTTTTATAACTTTAGTAGTGTTTCCAAACAAATGCCATAAAATAAACATATAGTGGCATTTGGAAACGTAAAAACCACTAAAATGTAAAATTTAGCAGTGTTTTTATAATCAAACACCACAAAATTGCAAACTTTAAAATTTATTAGTTTAAAAATATAATTATATAAAATTTATTTTAAAATCGAGCGTATTTTTTTGTTATTTAAAGGCCTTTTTTTAAAAATTACCACTAATTTGCAAAATTTAGTGACATTTATTACTACAAATACTGCTAATTTGTAAACTTTAGTGACATCTCCATTTTTCATAATTTAGTGACATTTGTATTTACAAATGTCACTAATTGATCATCTCATCGCTACAAATTTTCATATTATTTTATGTCATTTAGCGACTTCTTTTTTAATGAAAAATGCCTCTACTGTATAGAATTTAGTAGCGATCGTAAATACAAACATCACTAATTTCCTTCAAAAAATTAGAAATCGACCTAGCCACTTTTTTTCCCTCTCTTCCCTTTTTACCTTTTTCTGCTGTAGATTTTCCTCTCGATTTTCATTCATTTTCCCTTCCTTTTCCATTCCCATTCTTTTTCTTAATTCATACTCTCTCATCTAGCCCCTCTTTCAGCCCTTGCCCTCTCTATTAACTATTTATCCATTTACTCCCTGACTCTCCGATCATTGGCAGTGGCACAGTTTCTACTGGTGGCTTCCCCTATCTCTTTCTTTATTTTCCTCCTCTCTTTGATCCATTGGAACCACCCTTATCTTCCTCTCTCTTACTAACTTTCTTATCATCTTTCTCTTAAGATTGCTTTTTCAGGTAGTGAAGTCTTCAATATTATTTTCAATATTTTTCCCTTAATTTTCTCTAGAAAAAAGAATAAAAAACTTTTAAAGATTAATTATATTCTGGATGAAGTTTAGGATAAGTATTTGATTTCACTTTTTCTCTTATTAGTATTACTTAACAAATGGATAACAATTTCTGAAGTTCAAGCATATCAAGTAATAGTAATAAAAATTGTTATTATTACTTCAAAGGTTATTCCTTTTACTCTTCGATTTTTTGTTTACAAGCTTTTTAACTTTTAACTGAATCTTCAGTGGTTTTGATTTTAAATTTTGTTTTAATCTCTGTTTTTACAAACACTTAAAGATTGTGTAAATTAATGTGGAAAATAGATGATAGATGGGAGAGCTGGCGACTGACAAACATGTTAAGTACATTTTATCTATTGAAAAGGTAAGTTTCAAACTCTTTGATTTTTAGTTTTTGTTTTACATTTTTCAAACTCAATTTTTATCCTAGTTTTATTTTGAGTTTATCTAAAGTTGATTATTTTGCGGTTTGTTATTGTTAGAGAAAGGATTTTTTTAATCGGTGGTGATAGGCCATCTAAGAATGAATGGGGCATATTGGGGATTAACATCCTTGGATCTTTTGCGGAAGCTTGATATTGTTAATGCAAATCAGGTTATTTCATGGATCATGAAATGCTTAGTTTTTTATATTTAATTGCTAGTATTATTAGTGTAAGTAAAAAAAATGTCTAGATTTAAGTTAATTAAATCATAATATTAAAGAAGTTTGATGATACTTTCTTATACATATGGTTTTTTTGGTAATATTGGGCATGACCCACATATACTGTATACTCAGTGCTATGCAAGTGTTGGCCCTTTTCAACAAGCTAGATGTTCTTGACATTAATAAGGTTGCTACTTGTATCCTTTCATATGTTCTATTGATGAAATTATTTGCTCTTCACTAGAAAGTTTCTATTATTCCATGATGATTATCCAATTTCTGGAGTTGTTTTAAAATAATTTGCATAACTCTAATGTATGATATTAGTAATTTCTTTTACTCACTACAGTTGGCTATTTAAATGTAAACTGCCTTTAGGGTTTTCATGTTTTACTTAAATCTCTAAGTTACATATTACTAGGCTACAAAATGAAGATGGATCCTTTTCAGGGGATATATGGGGTGAGGTGGATACGCGCTGACGGTCTGGGCTAATTATTTTGCATGCTTCTTATGCTTTTCTGTTTTGTTTCATAGATTTTTCAATTTTTATCAACTTTTAATTATGAATATTGCATCTTTCTATTATATACATAAATAATTAAATTAAAAAATGCCAAATGTCAAGTAGGTATTATTTGAATAATGAGGACTTGTACAAGAGAAACACTTTAGAGGTAAGCAAAACTCATGGCATCGGCTAAACCAAAAACAGAAAACAAGTAGATTCATTAAACGGTCATTTGCTTTTATGGTCACCAAAAACCAAAAACAAAGGTAAGCAAATGTCAAGTAGATTCATGTTGCTTCTGGTTTTGCCGTGCCAACTTTTACAGTCATAGGATGAACATTTGCAGGTATTTTATGTTATGATATTTTACATATTTTAATATTTTGAATGATTAATACTTACCAGGTTTGTCACATTCTGAGAACACTGAAGCTGATACTGAGAAATTAAGTATAGGCATTGAGGTATTTTCAGCTTTCACTACAATTGGATTCTTGACTTACTTTAAATGGATTAGTGGATGTTTATCTTGTTTTCGTGTGAAACATTGCTTAAGGCTTGATATTCTCTGATTTTTCTCTTGAAGAACACTTTGTCAAAACTTATTTTGAGTTTGAGAAGGGAGTTTATGTTGATATTTTGCTCATGGATTTCGGTGCTTTAAGAGGGCTTTAGTTATTAATTTTTGGCAATTATACTCAATTTTACTAAAAACTATCTTCTTGGAATGCACAAAACTTGTGTCTGATAAGGATGACTTTTTAGTTGTTAAAGTTATCCATTCTAACATTTCTTTCATTATTTTTTGTTCTTCCTATCATTTCTCTTGACCTATCCATTTTTTTTCCTTTTTGAAGAAAATGAAGAAATCAAACCTATTTCTAGTTTTTTCAATGTTATATATAAGTCATCAAATAATTTGGCAAGGTTAAAGATTTTTTCATATACTCATGTCAGTATCTTAAACGTGTAATAATTTAGCAACTACTTGCTAGTTAATAACAAGGGGTTAATAGTTCATATCTAAAGAGAACAAGGTTCTCTATGGGGTGAAAGAGAGGAGGGAGGGATGGTATCTACTCTTTTAAATTTGTATTATCTATAGTTTATAGGTTCCTTTGTCTCACTGGTTTTGATTTTTCATTTTTTCCCTACTTGTGTACATGTTCAAGCACATGATTGATTTACAGTTAATTATTTTAGTATTAATTGAACTATTAATTATCTTAGATCGTTCTTGGCCTTAATATCTTGTATAGTACATTAATGAAATGTTGCACAAAGCCAAACACAAAGAAAGGCTCTACTTAGCATGTTGATCTCCTAATCATTTTTTTGCTTATATGAATGTAGACAGCCAATGTACTGAACAGCATGATAAATTGCCTGGTATTAATTAGAAGCTCCAATGGATTGCTTGGTATTAATAATAAGATTTACTTGACCAAGAAGTTTTATAACGAAGAGGGAGAGGCAGTGCGTCATCATGGTAAGTCTTGTTCTTAATGTGAAAATGGATTGAATTTATGTTGAAATGAAGTGTGCTTAACGTGATTGCTTTGATTTTTCCCCCTTATTTGCAAATAAATTATGCAAGTTCAATGATCTTAGCTTTAAAATTGTAAAGGAAAAGAACAAAAGGGGCATTTGATTTAATAAAAAGATTGATAAATTTCAACATTGGACTGATAAATATCAAGATTCAAATATATATACATGTACATATATATATGTATGTGTGTGTATATATATATATGTAATGGGTTTGGTTTATTTTCTTACGATCTTATTGAGGTTAGGAGTTGGAGTTGAAAGTACCAATTGCCTGGGTTGGCTTCTCCCTACACGATTTGTCCACATAAAAAATATAGAATTGTTTTTTTTTTTGGCCTTCGGTTTGCCAAAAGGAAAAATACAATTGATCCGTGTGTGATGTCATGATTTAATCATACCATAGTATTAGGGATGATTCGTTTTAATTATGAGGTATCTCTAATTTTTTTGGTGGATTAGTATGAATTCATTTCCATCAACTTTCAAATTTGAAAAAGTCCTAGTTAGGTTATTGTTCATTTTTGATTATTTGATTGAATTTTTAAACTTTTTTTAGGTAGGATCAACATTTTTAAAAGCTAATAAATTAATTTTTTTATATAAAATGTGAATTGGCAGGAGTACAATGCTAAAGTGATGTTCTCCATTCCTAGTGGATCTTGTAAACATGCTAAACGGGTAAGTTCTGAAGCTTGATTCAATCGAAGGTTCCAAATTATGGAAAAGAATTAATGCCTTGATCTTAAACACATGGCATTGTTGGCTGCACACCAGAAGGAAATAACCGTACGTATATATATATATATATATATATATATGATGACTTTCATCTTCATCATTTCCTTGTGTTAAATCATCGATCCATCATTTCCATCCATATTTATTTATTTTTGTGGTTTAATTTGCAGTGGGATTTCATCAAATTGCAATCATATGTTTTAATTTGCAACAGATGAATTCTAAAGTATGTTTAGTTGCAATTAACTTTTGTACATTTTATATTTTTATGCTCACATCTCATGATTAAATTTGTTAACTAATAGTGATTCTGGTCTATGTTTTTCATTCTGTTGTATTAATAGGATAGAGTTGGTTCTTTAAAAGGAGGTGTCAAGTTTTTCAAGATTTGTGGGTTTGAGAAAGTTGAATGAGATTAGTTCCTATATCTATCAAGGAACAAGTTTGACATGCAAGTGTTGAACTTAGCTAGATCTGCGTTGAACTATGCAATAAACAATCCTTTTTTTTTTTTTTTGCTACTCTAAGTTAAAAATAGATTTATAAACTGGAGAATGTTTGTAGTAATCTACCAATAGAAACATTCTTTAATGCTTACCTTCATCAAATGGCAGTGTTCCATGTCTAAACTTTCATCAATTTCATATATTTTAAAATTTTGGTTAATGTACTAAAAGAATTTGATTGTTTTTGTATAAAACTTTGTGTTACATATATACTAGAACAAATAATGTATTTAGATATTTATATATATATAATATTCAATTTATGAATTTAAATTTATTTTTATTTCTTTCACTAATTTTTTATTCAATTAAGTAGTAAATATTGGAAGAAATAAAAACAAAAAGTAAATTTCTTAATTTAACAGTATTTTGTATTGAAAAACGTTGCTAAATGACCAAAAATTAACTGCATTTATTACCAAAAAAATCATTAAATTTAGTGGTGTTTGTGCTTGTAAACATGCTAGCTTAGTGATCAACGACATTTTTCCCTAAAACGTTGCTATATTCTCGATGTAGGTATAGACGATGCTTTTAGTAGTGTTTTTGGTAAATGCTGCAAATACTTTAGTGGCATTTATAAACATCGCTAACTGTGAAAAAAAAGGCTGCTAAAGACATATTCCCTTATAGTGACCACACCATACTTGATACGATAATTCTTTATGTTCTTTAACCAATACAATGATGTAGTCTTCTTGTTCATTCAGTCTTTACCTTAACTTGCTTATGTAACTATTTAGCATGCTATTTTCTATTTGAACCTGGGTGAGTTCTTCCTCTAACTCAGCATATTCTTTCTTTAGGTGCTCGTTCTCATTAGTCAATTCCATAATTGTTATCTCATTGACCTTCACACATAACCTCTTATGTTTTTGGTGCAGCTACGCTAAGTCTTTAACAACTATGTTGTGCTTTTTAGCAATTTTGCAAACCTGACTTCTTGTTTTTCAACTCTATCCTTCCATCGATCCTTGTCTTCTTGAAGCTTCTAAATCCTTTGCTTCAAATTTTCTCTTTCAACCTCAAACTTTTTTTTTGAAAGCTGCAATTTTGAAGGCATTTCTTCAAGCTTACCATCCATTGGTTGTGGAAAATTTTCAGGAGTGAACATGACTTCTTTTCCTCAATTTTCCTTTTAAACCAAGTATTCATTAGTGACCTTATCAATGAAGGATTCAGGGCTCAACCTTGAGGACTTTTCCATGCCTTGATCGCATTACCTACCTTATAGAATGCTTTTGGTTCTCTGTAAGAAAAATTTGACTAGTGAAGTTTATGCATCATAAGGATGAATTGTTCTACCCCATAGGCCCAAAAGTGGAACCATAGTCTCCTCTCCACATTGGTATAACATAGGCAATCTATTCAATCATGAGACTAATCACTTTACCTTATTATTTGTCAACCCTTATAGGAAAGCTACCCATTTATTCTTAGACTTTTGCTTTGACCATTCACTTTCACAAAACTCTTTAATGGGTACTCGATTATGAAAGTAAAGTTTTGAACATGCATTTTTTTTACACTCGAAATGGATTTTCATCCATAAATATAATAGCAGTACACCTCTTGTGAAGTGACCTCCATTTTGGCAATAATAGCTTAATGATCTGATAGTCTTTGACAACATTGTTAATGAAAGATTGCAACCATTCCCCATATTTTTAAAGAAGTCAACCATTACTATCTCAATGTAGCCCAAAACTTTTGGAAAGATCACTATCCCATAGATGGCTAAAGCAAACACATCTAATCCTTACTCATCATTGGGATGTTAGACAAGAAAATCATGAAAGAATTTCCAAGGCAAGCAAATATGTTCTTGCTTTTTCTTTGTTGTGAATCCATGATCTCTTTGTCAATATCCATGAGATTTGCCAGCTTCTTATGAAACCTTGACTTATGCTTTTTGACATGAATTTTATCAGGGTGTTAAGGTGTAACCCAGGTAGAGTCGAAAACTCTTTGATGGTTGGTGCCATATCGACTTCATTGACAATGAAACATTTGTATGAAGGGGCCCAAAATTGAATCACTAATCTAATTAATTGATTTTTGACTTTTATCGAAAGAAGATGTGTTATATATCCATAATTCAGGTAGAAATCTTCCTATCTCAATAATCCTATCTTTTTCCATACATTAGCCAAAATTTTCAAATCATTTAGTTTTAGAAAGAGAGATATCTTTTTAGATAAGGTAGAGACATGATTAATTGGTAGCCAATTTCCTTCCTTTTGTTGTTCCTTTTTAGATTGAGCTTTCACTTTATTTAGAGATTCATAGGGAGCTAGTATAGATGAAGAGTAGCCTAGCCGTTCTTTAGATTCCATGAAAAACTCTTTGTTGATGACTATTTAAGGCAAATAATCTTTATGCAACTTTATGGTATGAGGATGGATCTTGCAAAAATGGAACAGACAAAAAGAAAAATTAGTTAGCACACTAAAACAAAATAAATAAGTTATAGCATGATATATAATAAGAAAGTAAAAATGAATCCTAAACTTTTGATCAATTCTAAGGGTAAAGGGAAATATGACTCTACCTATGGGTTAAGTTTTCCTAAAGCTTGCTATATGTGGTTTAAGATAGGTAGTCTAAAGGTTCCTAAATTATTCCTTACATAATGGTCTATCACAAACTAGTAAGGCACCCCAATCCTCGCCCATTATAGGCTACAATTGGAAATGGTTCAATTTGAGTGAGAGTATTTAACTAGTCACTATGGAGGCATTAAAACTTCACGAAAGCTTAGGTACTTTACTCCCTCCAAGGGGGATGTAGCTTGGGTATAGAGTTCATATTATGCATATGCAGATGGAGGATAATATATAACATGATAATAATAAAATACAAGAAACAAATAAAAAATTTATAAATTTATTAAGTTAGGCTTGGAAAACATGAAATCATTACTAGCCTAACTCTCGACTTCCCCAATGGAGTCACCAAACTATCATAATGTTTAAATCCTTAGACCTATTGCTAAACGTAATTTAAAGAGTCACCACTAATCTTTTTTATTTAGATGCGATTAGCTACCTACTTGAATCGTCTCATTTTAAAAAGAAATTCCAAGTTTGACTTTGGCTTTTTTAGAAGGCATATTCAACTCTACGAAACTAGAACTAGGTTTGGAAGTATTATGTAAGGAATGTTATAACACTCTCACAACGCCCACTCAAATGAAGGTACTAGCTTAATTTCACTTAAATAATTTAATTATTAGGAATTACTATTAATTGAATGCAATATTTTGGCAGCAAATTAAGAGAATCTTCTCATCTCAAGAGCATACAAGAAAATAATTATTTCTCTCACAAAAGCTTTGTCGTCAGATTATTTAACACATGTTTTATCAAAATTCACATATTCCAGAAAATTTTAATTTCAAGGAAAAATTGATATTTCAACTTTTTCCTTAAAAATGTCTAAATAGGAAAATTGATATGTCAACTTTTCCCAAAAAAAATCTTTGAAAAATATTTAAATAAGAAAATTGATATTTCAACTTTTCCTCATATTTCTTTGAAATATATTTAAATAGAAAATTTGATATTTTAATTTTTTCCTTTATTTTTGAAAAACATTTAAATAGGAAAATTGATATTTCCATTTTTTTTATTTTTTGAAAAATATTTAAATGAAAAAATTAATATTTCAACTTTTCCTTTTATTTTGGAATTGGTTTTGGTTTAAGGGAAAATTGATATTTCTACCTTTTTCTTGAATTTTTAGAAAAATTTTATTATAAGGAAAAATTAATATTTTAACTTTCCTTATAAATTTTCTTTAAAATTTTCTTAAAAAAATAGTATTTTAACTTTTTCTCTAAAATATTATTCAATTTAAGGAAAAATTGATATTCCAACTTTTTCCTCAAATTCACAAAAAAGTAATTTTTTTTTAAAGAAAAATTGATAATTCAACTTTTTTTAGATCCATTGAAATTTGTTTTTATTGAAAAAATTAATATTTCAAGTCTTTTCTCATAACTTTTGAAATTATTCTGAAGGAAAAGTTGATATTTCAACTCTTCCTTTAATTTAAAATATATATTTTATTTAAGGAAAGCTTTTTATTTAAGGAAAATTAATATTTTAACTCTTTCCTTAGGTTTTGAAATTGCTATATTTTTTATTTAAGAAAAAATTAATATTTCAACTTTTTCCTCAAATTTTCTTAAAATCTATCTTGAGAGAAAAATTAATATTTTAACATTCTCATCATATTTTCAAATTTTCTTATTTAAAGATATTTCAACTTTCATAACAAAAAAAAATAAATTGTTGAAGAGAAAAACTTATTTAAAATTAAATAAATACTTAAATGAATAAATAATATTAATTTGACAAATAAAGAAAAAAAATAAATAAATATACAAAATAATAAATAAATGAAAAAAATACCCTGGCTCAACTCAACTTGCTTGGCTTAGGATGGGCTGTTGCAAGCACAGAGGAGTGATTGGAATGATCGGCTTGGCTTAAGCTTTCAATAGAAGTAGCGGTTTATTAGGCCATGTGGCACGAGTCAGGTCTTAAAATGAGGCAACATGCAGATCCTAGGTAAGTTAACAGCAAAACAACATTGCTTCTGTGGTAGTATAAAAAGTTCAAAATTTGCTTCTTTTTTCATCTTTCCTTCCTTTTTACCCCTCACTTCTATTTCTCTTTCTAAGAAGAGGCTTGGTTAAAAACTAGAAAATGTCGTCGGTTTCTAGAAATTTCGCTGAAAAAGTAGTTGGAAACTTTAAAAGTAGCTCAAAAAATCAACAAAATCTGAGTTTAGATAAGGAATATATACCTAGAGTGAATCCTTCAAATGAAAAATGATCATTGGCATTAATTACCCTTATACACTTATTTTAAGCTTGTCTATCCCTTGTAGACACCAATTTTGACTGATGTGATTT